TTTCCCCCCCCCCCCCCCCCCCCACACACACACACACACACTCTAAATGGATGTCAGGGCCATTAAGATATACAAAATTTCAAAGGTGATGTATTCTACTGGAGTTGACCTTTCTGTGCTCTTGTTATTTCTTATCTTGCAGTTTACATTCTTTGTTCCAGGCCCATGACAGCCCAGTGAGAACTATGGTATGGTCCCATAATGATGTGTGGATGGTTACGGGAGATCACGCTGGCTACGTCAAGTACTGGCAGAGCAATATGAATAATGTCAAGATGTTCCAGGCACATAAGGAGGCAATCCGAGGTCTCAGGTACAGGCACTGCTCACTGCTACAAGCATAACACAACTGTTCGCCCTTTCTTCATATCTTCATTCGTTAGCCATTTCATTGCTCCTCACCATTCACTGAAGTCCCATTAATCATATTTATTAGTAGAGATGTTATGGTGGCTTACTGATTGTTGTCTGTTTTGGGAATAAAGGAAAGCATGTCCTTCCAGTTCCTTAATCCATGAATTCAAGTGTATTGGTATATAATTAGTCTAAAAACTGAATACATTTTCAGTTCTCAATTCAGTTCAGTCAAATCAGGTATTAGCTGTTCTGATCCCTGGTGAGGGGTTTCTCCACTCTCACCATGTTTCTCCCACCCCTATGCTAATCTTGCAGATTATTACAAGGCGCTTACGTTTAGTTGTTCAACCAGGGGGACTTGTGTTAAGAATGTCAGAGTTTATTGGAAGACATTGATAGAATTCTGAAAAGTGGCAGAAGCCAGAGTTCAACTTGAAATAATAAAATCTTCATTTATAGTCTGTTTTTCTAGATTAATCATTTGTAGTTTGTCCTTATTGGATTCTTTGGCAAAACATGACCGTATTTATTCAAACTTTCCGCATTTTGTTTGTGCATTATATCTCACTAAAACAGAAAAAAACGCAATACTCTGGTAGGAGCAAGTATGTTATTAGATAACTTTACATCTATGCTGGAAGTTAAATTCTTTTTTTTATTTTATATTCATGTAATGATTACCCATTCATTAATGGTACTTTTGGCATACAGTGGATATTATATAAAATTTGTATGTGCTTACTCTTGCATTTCTTCATAATGTAAAGTGTACATTATTTTTAAAACTCAAGGTTCTTTTATTATCAGTTTGATTGAATTTTATGATTATTAAGATGTGTTACAGAAACTGGTAGTTGCAAATTTCAAATAAATAATCATGTACTTTAACTTGTTACATTTTAATCCTAAACATTTTCATATAATACATCTTAAGTAGTAAATGAAAATTAACCAAAGCAAAAGAATGAAACGATAGCACAACTTAACATGAGCAGTATAATATTCACTGTGGTAACAGTGATAAAATGCTTAGAAAAGACAAGAGAATTAGCTGTTCCTTATACAAAATTCTAAAACATGGTTAGCATAATGAGCTCAATTATTTTTCCTTAAAAATGGGGAGTAGGCCACTAATGTATTGTAGATTTATTGTTTGTTTGTTTTTTTTCTTTTTTGTGCAACATTAAAAGCATAGCATGCATGCATACTGCATTAGATATTGGAAGGAGGATGAGAGAAATTGTGTTGCTTGTGAAACATTTCCTGATGTAGCACACAATGTGAAGGTAGCAGATCATTTTTTGTTACAAAATTATAGTTTTCAGATAATGGGTGTGTAGGTAGATGAATGGCTGGATCATTGGATGAATAAATGACTGAGAAGAAAGGAAGGAAAAGTAGTTAAAAAATGAAAATAATTTGTGTAGGATTTGAGGTTTTTACAGCAGAGAGTCTGAAGATGGCTGCCTTCTGGGTTGTTGCACCAACGTTTCAGATCTCCTTGCTGCTTCCATCATCAGGGTAATTATTGCCCCGATGATGGGGACAGCAAGGACCTCTGAAATGTCAGTAAAGTTCTACCAGACTACATGGTTCAACAACCCAGAAGGCAGCCATCTTCAAGCAATCTGTAGATTATTTGTATTTTGATATTTATAAAATACATTTCATTTTTTCTTCGGACAAATTGCCAAGAAATTTTTGATGCAGTGAACCTTGGAGTATGCCTTTCTCTTCCAAAATGATGTAGTTGGTGTCATTTGATTTATGTACTGAATTACAAGGTCTTACTTATCTAGGTTTTGTGTGATATATTACTGTATGGAATAGTACCCTAATGAAGAATTTGTAAGATAAAACTGTAAAATATGCTTTTTAAGATAAGTATTGTACAGAATGATTTTACCTTGGGTGAATTTAATTGAGGGGATGAATGTTGGTGGTTTTGTATAAAAATAAATTTGGCTGCATGAAAGAAAAGTTGGAATAAATACGGTGGCTTCCCATTGCATTGTAGACCTCACAGTTTCCTCTTCTTGCCCATTACACATAATTGAAATAATAAAAAAACCTTTCCTATACATATGTTGTGATATTAATAAGAAATTTTCTTTGCCAGGTGGTAAAATATGTTATTTTATATTTTTGAAGTACTAAGCTTCTTTCTTTGATGGACAGTCATATGAGAAAAATAAAGCCGGGCAAGAAACTGTCCTCCACTTTTACCTTTTACCATATTTAATTGGTGAGAGTGCATTTGTGGTTTAATTTTACTGTTACTTTCATTCTTGACATATTAAAAAGTCATGTATAATAGTTGAATAATTGATGTTTAAAAATTTTTTAGACATAATAAAGCCGGGTAAAACTTTGAGTCCTTTCACAAACCTTCATCTAGTCTGGTGCAGTTATTACTGTAAACATATATATATATATATATATATATATATGATACTTCAATGTAAATACAGTTGTCACATTGAATTTCAAATAAAGACGTGTTATTCTTTGATCATGTTAAACATGAAAACAATGGGTCATAAGAAGCTAGTACATAATTCAACATGATGTCCTGAGCTTTTATTCTGTTCCAATTTTAGAATAAATAAAGGTATCCACTGCAGAATGCTCTTAAATCAAGAATAAATAAAACCAGATAAAAATGCGTCCTTTCCATGTCCATCATCATTGTTTACAATCCTTTGTATCGATAGATGTTTGTTTGAACTGGGTCATACTGATTTTGCAATAAATAAAATCAAGCTGTTTTTCCCAGTGTCCTTCATGAATACTCTATAATAACTGCTCAACATATGCCCATACTTCAATTAAAGGCGAATGTTATGACAAATATCTGGTGGCTCTGAGTTCTGTTAGGTGGGTGTAGCTATTGTAAATGTTTCATCCAGGTAGCATGTATAGAGTAGTTTATTGTTGAATCATATTTTTATCAGATTAAAAGAGATGTTTGAAAGTGTGTTACATTGATATAATTTGCAAGTTTTGCAACATTTAGAGAATAAAGACACTATTTTTACAAATTAATTTGCACATATTTCCAAGGGTTTTCTGGCAATCATGTGTCAGATTCAGTCCAAAAATGGCCAGTAATCCTGTTTCAGAAGTTTATGATTGTAGAAATATGTCCACATGAATGGCAGGTATATCCTTGGAAATTGTTTTTATTTCAAAAATATAACATTGTACTTTTACGAAGACTTTCAGGATTCAGTGACATGAATATAGGAAACCATGGAAATGCAAAATGTCTTTTAAGGAACAGGTTTATGCTTCTAATAATGTGTTCCACACACAGACCCTCCTTTTAGAAAGATGCAGTGCAGTGTTTTTCATGTGTGTTAAATTGTTTTCTTAAGGACTTTATAAGATTGTTTTCTGTTTTATCGGTGATAGAAATGAAGTCATTAATAGTCGTGCCTAGACAACCATAATGAAATTTATGTCACTGATTAGCAGTAGTGTTGATTAAAAAGTTGAACACTGTATTCACATATTTTTATCTTGTTTCTCTTAAGCAGCATAAAACTGGGAGTTTATGGCAAAATTATTTTTGCATGGATGATGTGATGTCTAACTACCTGGTTACTTTTGAAAGTTTAATAGCAACATTATAGCAGAATGGCTGAAAATAGATCTTTTTCATTTGTGTTCATTATGGTGACAGTCCAAATTATATCATTTTTAATATTTGTTCATATTTACATGACATGTCTATCATACATGAGGTTGGAAATAGAATGGGAACACACATCACAGCTTACATTATTCTGCAATAGATAGTTGTTCTATTCCATTTAATAACAAGTATAAGCTAGTAAACTTCATAACTACCAGCAAAATGCTATGGAATGTCTCTGTTGAAGTAATTAAGTAGTTTCTTTTACATGAATTTTGTTAAAATGAAAACCTGAAAACAGTCTTGGCTTGTGTGTGATCTTCAGTAATGAATTAACTTAACAACCAGGTATTTTTGATTTTAGAAATACTTTATAAAGTGTGATACTACAGAGTAACTAACTCCATAAATCGGAGTCCTTGGGAACCTGATAATTATTCAGCTGCAAAACAGTTTGCTGCATTTTTTAACCTGAAGGTTCATTACCTCAAGAGCTTGCCATAGGCCCCTATCCTGAGCCATTTTAATCCATTCACATCCTTCTTTAAGATCGAGCGTAATCTATGCTATCTATCCCATCTATGCTGAGGACTCACAAATTGTCTCTTAGGTTTTCTTACTAAAATGTATGCATTGTTTCCTCCATGTGCTACGTGTTTCTTGGGTATCATCTTCCTTGATTTAATTACCCTAATAATATTTGGTAATGAGTACAAATTTTGAAGCTTCTTATTATGTAATTTTCTCCATCCTTCTATTGTTTACACTGTCTTAGATCCAGATATTCTCCTGAAGACTATGCTTTCAAACACCTTCAGTCTCTTTTCTATCTGTTGGATGAGAGACCAAGTTCTATACTGTAGATGACAATGTTGCTCTGGGTTGTGATGCTGTGTAGTCTCATACATAGATACCAGTGTTTCAGAAACATACTGTCTCCATTGTCAGGGCTGAAGATGGACCATTAGTTTCTTTAAATTGGTACATATGATTTGTAATTTCATTCAAAAAACTACATATTATATCAGAAACATGCCAGGTTTACCAATTTAAAAACTGAAATTACTGTCATTCTTAGACAATGCATTAGCTGAAGATCTGCTGCCTCCATCATCAGGGCATTCGCCCTGATGATGGAGGCAGCAACAACCCAGAAGACAGCAATCTTCAGACTCATCACCGTGAAAACCTTAAATCCTACAATACATTAGCTGTTTATTACAGGGAAACGTTAATAACTTAATAATGCATTACTTGTTGTTTCCTCCCATAAACAGAATGAACATTTTTACATTGTGTATTATTTGTTTCTAAAGGTTAGTTCACTTTTAGATTAATTTTCAAAGTTTTATTTATATTAGACCATAATAGCTGAGATCAGGCTTTCTTAGCCAACAGTTCAAAACCTGTATTGTCATAGTGAATATTTATGAATTTTCCATCACCTGCTTGTAATGTTTTCTGACACTGTTTTGTTACCTCCTGTCTGTCCATCCCATAGCTTCAGCCCAACGGACCACAAGTTTGTGACTTGTTCGGATGATGGGACATTGAGGATCTGGGACTTCATGCGATGCTATGAGGAGAGGATTCTAAGAGGTAAGTACCTCTCAAATGTCAAATTATTTTTTAAATATTGATACTGTTTAGTAGCATCTGACAAAAAGCAAGTCTGCACAGTATATTGATGTCTAACATAAACTGCTGTTAAAGTCACCTATAAATGATTTCTCTTGTTAAGTAATAATTCATTGTGACTGTGATCTGTACAACTATAATTTATTTGTTATTGTACCTACAGAAAATGTTTCTCTTCTACCACTAGACTATATTCTAAAGCAAATGAATTGGCACTCTAGTTCATTTTGATTTTGGCCTCCCATCTGTACTTAGTGGTCTCTTTTATCACCTTCCCCATTTATGCTACATACCATGTCCATCTCATATTTCTTGATTTTATTACCTTAAATGACATTTGGTCATATACTGTGGTTAGGAGACCCCCTTATTAAACAGAAACATTATTTTTGTTTGTATAAAATGACCCATTGTTCAAGAAGATTTAAAATTGTATATTAATTGCCAAATCATTTAATCTGAAGCCAGGTTTGTCCAGTTGTATTTTAAGTAAAAAATATTTTAAATGCAAGGAACATTTTCAAATTGTTTTGATAAATCTAATATATGGGCCCATCAGTGATATCAATATCTGTGAACATAATTGTTGTATTTAGGTGGTAGTAACTGTTAAAAATATGGAAACAAAGATATTTGAGTTGTATCTGTATTATGTGTTTTCCTGAAATTCATAATAGATATTTGACGTCTTTGCATTGGTCCTCATATTTCATCTCAGAAACTATTGTTGCATTTTGATAAAATTTGGTCTTGGGGTATATGCCCTGAACATTTCTAGGTAAATTTAATTTTCATTGCTACTGGTCCAAAATAACATTAATTTAATGTTAAGATCAAATTAAACTAAGAAGTTTTCTCAGAAAAGCAGCTCATTTTTCCAAATATTGGTGTTTGTGTGGTGTGAAATATGGATCACATTAAAGTATGGTATATCTGTGGCATTGATTACCTTTGCAATAATATATTTATAATGAATTAACACTGAGGCCAATGAATTGTATGAAATCATAAAGAATACATTTGAAAAATATGTGTACTCCTGATGGTAGTAAATCTTAGTATTCTTGTTTACTAGTGCCCCTGTAAATTTTGAGTTTTTCTTCTTCCCCCTTTACAAAATTATGGTCAAGTAAATTTTGCATCAGTGTTCCACTAACTTTCCCCATTCACATGTTTTTGGTTATCATATTTTAAAAGTAAAGGTAGGTTTATGTGTTGGCTCACTCTAATAACTTGTAAACTTCTGAGGTGGAATGTAACACTAGTTCTACTTAGTGCAGCATCCTGAGGTATTGTATGGTGATAGAATTGTAAGAAATATGCAAATTATTGTTATGGGAAACTTTTCTATGGCATAGACAACATGGTAGCTGTATGAAGTCCATATTAAGCTTTCTCTTTCAAGGAGCTAACAAAGCACTAGAGTGGACTGGTGACACTTCAGATGAACATACAGATTTTATATGAAACATTTTTGTAACTTAAAAATGACAAACATGGACAGTGTGAAACTTTGAGGTTATATATAACATTTGTCATAAAATTTAAACTCATGGGAATTACTGAAATATATCACTAATTGTATAATTATTAATTTATAGTTCTTGGCTACCTCGCTTTATAGACTGAAGCACTGTGTAGTCTGGCAGATATGTCCAATGTTGATTAATATCTGTATTATCCTCTCACTGATCCACTGTGTAACTACCCATCTAGTTTCATGGCAGAGAAACATATTTGTAAAATTTGAGGTTCTCATGGTGCTGAAGATTTTGATGTTTGTCTTCTGGATGGTAATGCCATGTGATCTTTTAAGTATATACCTGTAAGCTGTAAGTTAATTATGAACATTTTATTGATTAATTAATTAATTATGGTAAATGTTCATTCATCATAGTTATTAGGCACAACATGTAAGTGCATTTCTATCAGTTTACTATTAATAAATGTTGGTTTGCTTTTATGTTTTGTCTGTGTGTACATTGAATCTCTTCATCTGTTGTCTTCAAAAGAGGTTCATTTTTCTTGTCCATGATAATACCTTGCCTGGTTACAGGACACGGTGCTGATGTCAAGTGTGTACACTGGCATCCCCAGAAAGGTCTCATCATCTCAGGCAGTAAGGATAATCAACAGCCAGTGAAACTGTGGGATCCGAAGACAGGCCAATCACTCGCAACACTGTATGTATAGTCATTTTAGTGTATTTTACAAAGAGCAGGCATGTGAAGCTGGTAATACCTAAGGTTCACAACATTATAGTTATTTTAGATTGTAACATTTCTATATATATGTTTATGATATGTATTTAGTGCAAAATGGAACTCTTTCACTAAGACATTATTCACAGTATTGTAAGACATAGTAAATGAAATTCTTTATATTTATTTAGAAATATATTATGTGTTTTCATAAACATCAACTATCATACAGAATTTGTGGAACTGTTTTATGACTTAGTTGATTTGTGTATGTCCATAACTTCATCCTTAAGTTTCATAGAATTACAGGAGTTGGCCATATCTGGAATGGAATTTACAGAGTGTACCATTTAAAACGCATCCTATTAACAGTCACTTACATTGGTACAAAAATTAAATCAGTAGCAGTTCGTCCCCATGTACAAGACTTTTCCAACCTCTCCCTTGACACTCAAGTCTAGGTCACTCTGGTTGATGGACCGTTACTCATGCCAGTTGCACAAAAGCTGTGCAGGTGCTAACATGGTGTATTCATGAGCAGAACGTGTTTGTTTTCGAACATTACTTTACATCAAAATTGTTTGCTGCTGATGATGAAGCATTTAGCAATGTGTATCCTGTCAAGTACTGATCAAGGCAACAGTATATGAGCATTGTGCTCATGAATAATTCTTTACTCTGAATGCAACCAGGTGCTGGGTCAGACTGAGGTGAAACAGCAACTGAGGACCTAAGTTGTGATGATGTGCTGGCTGGATAGGCCTACCACACACCTTAGAGGTGATGATAGTTGAGTATGGATAATTGGTAGAATCATGATTGACAAGGAAGAAATGAAACTGGTCATAGAAGCATTTGCCTCTTTGCCATTTGTCCTCCACAGATTCCATTTTAACTGCGTTGGTGACACTTTAATGTTAGAGGATTGCCTGTTCCCACTTGAGATGTGGCATTGCCTAAAGACAGATAACTTGTCATGTAAGCAGTGAATAGGTTAATGAACCAAGGATACAAGATGTAAAGAAAAGTTATTATGTCAACAGCCATGCCCACAAGAGCACTGTGATGGACATCAAGTGGAATTCTAATGGAAATTGGTTAGTGACTGCATCTCGAGATCATCTCCTCAAGTTATTTGATCTGCGAAACCTGTCACAAGAAGTCCAGACTTTCCGTGGTCACAAAAAGGAAGCAAGCAGTGTAGCGTGGCATCCTTACCATGAGGGCCTCTTCTGCAGTGGAGGTTCAGATGGTGCTATTCTCTTTTGGCATGTTGGGTGAGTTATATGGTGGTGTGATCATATTTATTAAAATTCCATTATGCATTGAAATACCCACACATTTTATATTATTTACCATAGTGATAAATCTCCTAAATATCAAATATGTTGTGTCTAACTAAATCATGTTTTGCTGTACTTGAGCCTTTAAAGGCCAATGATATATGCCATCTGCTCTAAGAGTCAGTAACTCTGCATTTTGCCCACAGAATATATTCATTAATTTCATACAGTTCTAAGAGTTTGCAGTAAGGACTGTTTATTTTAAATATTACTTAGGCAAGTTTTGTTTTAAAGGGTTAGAACACCTGTCACTATTGATTTACTTATCTTAATCCTCTTGCATTATAAAACGAAACTTATTCATAAAATGGCATCAAAGGTAGTCTGTCCATCCCATTAATAATTTTATCTGTATTAGGCATGAAAAATGCAACATAATCCATTCTCTACAAACAGTACTGAGTGAGTTAGTGAAACAATAACACTCAGATTTGTGTTTAGAATATACATGCTTCAAATCTTGGCTAGAATATCCCCATGTGTTCTTTGAAATGTGCATTTAGAGGTATTAAATCCGTGTTGTGACTGCTTCAGTGCCGACAAAGAGGTGGGTGGCATTGAGCAGGCCCATGACAGCATTGTGTGGACATTAGCTTGGCATCCACTTGGACATATCCTCTGCTCAGGATCCAATGATCACACTAGTAAATTCTGGACTCGTAACCGACCTGGTGACCTCATGCGTGACAAATACAATCTCAATACCCTGCCAGCTGGTTTGCCAGGTTTTGAAGACCAGGATATGGGTAAGTACATAGAATTCTAACCCATAAATCTCTGTGTCCAATACAGTAATACAAGAATGAAAAGGTGTGCTTCAATGGAGTGCACATTTATTCCTTTTATCTTTTCTTTCTTTCTCTCCCCCCCCCCAAAAAAAAAAAATTCAAATCCATTGTTCTACAGCTAATCACACTACAGGTATCACATTACACAGAAAATATTGTTGTCCGTATTTAGTCCTTTATTATAATGTTCCATTGATTTAGTTTTTCACATTTTTTAATTGTCTGCAAATATTAATGCTTTTGTGTTTGGTACCTTGTTCTCTCCTCTAACTTCATTAACAATTTCAGTCATCACAGCATAAACAAAGTTGGATAGAGGGCACTTTATCTCACTCTTCTTGTTTCAGACCATTCTGATCTTCCTAAATTTGTTTTAACACAATTTTTACAGGTATTTTATGTTGGCTTCACTTCATATTAAGGTACTGTGCTGCTTTTGATCATCTTAAGCTTTAAAAATATATGTCCCTCCAAATTGAAATTAATTTTGCACTCTTCTTTAAATGATGCAGTTTACCTAATGTCATGTTTTTTTAAACTCAGGGATTAATGCATATTTTTCATTACATTTAGAAATAAATTAATCATTTTTTCATTCAGATCCATTTAAAAATATTTTTAGTTCCTTAGACTGATTGTTGGCATTGCAGATGAACCAGCCGTAATACCTGGTATGGGGCCTGAAGACAAGGTAGAGACTGTGGCAAGTCCCACAGCTGCTCAGATCCCAGGACTTGACTTTGATGCTGGTGAGGACAGACACCGTTCATACCACAAAAAGGTACTCTAGCTTTCATTTATTACGTATACATTCAGTAGCATCATTTCTTAGCTGCTTCTTTTATTTCTGATATATATTAGCGACTGTGATTGAGTTCAGTCTCAAAACTCTTTTAACACTAAACTTTGATGCTAACCATTAGGCAATTGACTTTAAGCCTTTATTGTGATTCACTGTTGATATTGATCCTGCTTTTTGGTGCAGGAGCCAAATAGAAATTGCCTTATAGCCATCTTGCTTTCAGCAGTAAGAAAAGTATTAAAATGAATCCATGTAAGCTGCCTGCTACGTTAATTCTGAAGAGTGTTGTATTTTAATTTTAATTTATTTATTTATATGGAGTGAAGACAGAATTAATTAATTGTTCACAGGTGCCATATTCAAAACCAATTCCAAGGAATTTCCAGGCTCAGTGGAATGAGACAGGAAGAGCAAATCATGATGATGGTCGAGGTAAGTATTAGGAGCATAAGTTCGTAACAGGTTCAAGATATTCTGCTGAGAATGTTCACTGTGTTGGTTGCTGGAAGTTAGCAGTGATGATAAGAGCAAGTGGTATTATACTTCCTTGACATCCACATGACTTTGTGTTGATGATGATTCCTTTTGTGTAGAACATGGATCAGTTTATACCAGAGTCATGATTGTTTTTGTGAATCTTGTGTGAAGTGTCAATCTGCTAGGTGGAGTGATGAAATTTTTCCAGGGTTCAAGTTCCTGTGTATAGTCTTGTCAGTAAAGTAGCAAAAACTGGCCTGTTAATACACAGGAAACCAAAGCATCATTGCTGGGTATTTACAGAAGAAAAACTGGATGACATTGGAGCATAAAGAATATCTTTGTAAGTCTCTTAAATTCCTTGTGCAAGAAGTAGGAATATCAGATAGGACTGAAAATTTATACAAAATTATTGAAACTATGGCCTTTCAAAACATTTGTGCATTCATTATAGCCACCCTTAATGTCTGTAACTCATATCTTCAGTCAGATGGGCCATTTTCAAACTGGTATGTAAAGTTATCTTATGTCTACAGCTGTTTCATTGATTGCACCACTTAATACATCTTACAGTTACCATGCAGAATCATGGTGATAAATAATAGAACATTGGTCAACAGGAATACATTCATAAGATTGGAATAATAAATTGATCCTGGTAAATAAGCAGATCTTATGGGGGAATGGTTTCTGTTCCTGAACGGTGAAGAGAACATTATATAAATGCCACTATAAGCCAAGCAGCATGTTTTTTTAAGTCACCTGATTTTAATCTGATGATTCGTGTGGGACTTTAAATGAAAAATGTAAAAGTTTAGGAAACTAAGAAGGTTCTTGGTATTTTAAGAAGACATTAAATTAATAGAGCCTCTTAAAAAGGGAATCATTTCATAATGTATAATATTTTGTTTAGCTTTGGAAGAAGCTAAAATCTGTGTTGACTATTATCTGCTATCCTGTTTATAAACTGATTCCAGAGAAATTAAATGTATGGTGTACAAAATCAAAATATGAAATCAGAGCCTTTTGTTGTACTTGATACACCATGATCCAAGCATTAAAATATTATGTTTATACTTTCATCACTTTTCTACTTTATTTTGAAAGGTCTGTCATGTTATGCACAAAAATGGTAGTACGTTTTTTGTTAATTCTTTCTGTTTTATATTTTCAGATGAAGACAGTGATGAGGAGGAGGTGTCATGGAGAGGTCGAAAATCTTTAGTACTACCAAAGGATCCACTAACTGAGGTTATTACACAGCTAATAGAAACAAATCCACCCCCAGGTGTTGTTCCTCTTAGCCAGCTCCAACCACAAGCTATTATTGTTTATGGAAAGCTACTCCCAGTTGAAGGTTAGTGATGATTTTCATACCAATAGGTTATGTGAGGAAGTAGGCAGAATGGTGACATCTGTTTAATCAGCTGTCAGATACGTCAGTTGCCTAAAAGTGTGCTACCACCTGTTCAACAGAAGTCTCCAACTAGCCCTAGTTAGGGATCTGATTTACATTGGAAAAGGCAGCCTCATCTTATGTCTTCCTCAGAAAAGTACAGGGACCAGCACTCAACTGACCCAGTTAAAAGATACATACTGTGCATTGTAGTTTGTAGATTGTTACACGTTTCTTCATGAAACATATTTTGGAACTTCTCAGCTGCAAGGTGAGCTCAATCTTGCACATTATATTCCCTATTTCCAGTCCATCTGCACTTTGTGATTTGGATGTATCATGCAACACAGGTAACTAGACTGACTGCTGTTCATTGATGGTCTGCAAATAGTTGACACATTAAGTTTGAGACTGCTTTATGATTAATGCATTCATTCTTCTTTCAACAGGAAATCCAGCTTTAGCTAGTGCAATTGCTGCAGGACCATTGGCACTACAGCGTTTTATTGATTCGGGTGAACTGGAAGAATTGGCTGATGTAATACCACACATAGATGATAATGATGAATTTGATGAATATGATGATTATGATGACAACATGGATTTGGAGACTATGTCAGATATTGAGCTTCCTGCACCTCTTCCATCTTCTGTCTTTGCACGCAAAGCTGCTCAACAACAGCAACAACAACAGCATCAACATCAGCATCATCCTCCTCATCAAAGGAAGTCACGATTCAGTGATCGTGAAGATACAAAAGATGATTCAGAAGAAAATGCTTCCAGTAATAATCGTGACACTCTTCGCATCAGGTAACAAGATAGATTAACATAAAGCATGTTCTAAGATTTTATGTTTACATTGCAAGATTATATAAGTGAATCTCCTAGGTTGAAACACTGTGTGATGTTGGAAACAAACTTCTGACATTTTGAAGGAACCTACTTATTCACCTATTAAAGTCTACAGCTTTTATTCAAAATATTTTCAAGTACATATTTAACAGCATACAGGGAACATGTTATTTATGATTCTAGGCAGTATCATATCTTATTAATTAGCTTTGTTAACAATATGTTTGTATCTGCAGAAAATGAACAGCATGACCAGTGATGGATTGGAAGTTACAGAAGTATATGTATTCTAAATTTTAGTTCAGGCAATGATAATGTAACAACATATCAGTATATTATTGTTTGAATGTCATTGGTAAATTAGGAACTTTTAGCACTTTTACATTGCTCGATCAGTTAAATGTTAAATATATTTATATTGTACAGTCTATACACAAACGTTTGAAGTTTATTGATGTTGTAAAAATTATATAATATTAAAACATTTTTTTGTGTAAAATATTATATTAGCGCTCTTAATCGTAAATAAATGTAAAATCGTATTTACGATTAAGAGCACTAATATAATATTTTACACAACAAAATGTTTTAATATTATATAATTTTTACAACACCAATAAACTTCAAACGTTTGTGTATAGACTGTACAAAATAAATATATCTGTACAATATAAATATATTTAATCAAACACAAACATGACGCATATAAGATACAGTTAAATGTTGTTGACAAAAATGTATAATCATTTTTAATTTGCTCAAATGTCTCCTGAGTTGTGTTTGAATTGCACAGTCTTTCATGATGGAGGAGCTACATTCAGCAGTGCAGTGAGTTGCTGCTGCACACTGCTTGTAGCACTGAGATGATAATGTTGTGTCATATTGTGGCCACTGGTTTGCATGCACGCTTTCGATTCGTATTCTGAAAGACAGTCCTCTTTTCCAGTTAATTACCCGATTATACCTGTGTTGTACTATAAGGCTCAGGATGCACCATCTTTCATGACATGTTTGTGTTCAGAAATGCTCCTGTGGACTGTGGGTTGGAAGACAAAGACATGCGCAATTTACCTCTCCAGCAGCCACAGCCATTAGGTTTCCCTGGACACCGGTCTGGGCCCGGACACCGTCTTGGCCTTGCCCCTGACCAGGACATGAGATTTACAGGTACGTTTGTTGAGCAGGCCATTCATAGCTCATGTATGCAATGAACTTCTCTAGCTTCAGCTGACATATTAAATGTTTCATTCAGATCATATTCATTGGAAATAAATAACAGCTTTTCAATTATTTTGTTACATAACATGAAGCAGAATATCTAGTCATCACATGTAGTTTTCTTTAACTAACTGAAATAATTAAATTGTTTATTTTTTATATATTATCTTGATGCCTGTAATTACATTTGTATTAGATTAATCTTCTGCAAGCATATTTAACCTTCTGGAGTCTAACATCAAGCTGTGCTTGTAGATAACATTAATACCCATAAAGCTAAACCACAGCAAAAAGTTGTGTTGCTGCCTACTCTGATCCTGACATTGAAATTGATACTCCAAGTTGAGCAGCAGGCCATTTAAAGAAGACTCCACTCATTTAATAAACTTCATTCAGTTTACACAATAACATGATACTTTAACCTCTTAACTGATACATGAAGGTTAGCACACTACAAGAAACAGGCACAACATTATTCTTCTTTAAATTAGTTATGTCTCATACAAAAGTCCAGTTTCTGCATTTATGCTGGCTATTACAAGAGTGACAGAAATAGGAAGCTGTCTTCCTGTCATGATAACATTAGCAAGTTCTTTTACACTCAAAATCTAATCTTTACCTATACTGATGAAATGTCAAACCCAGTTCAGTAATTTATACTGCAATATAATAATGTCCCTGATGTGATAGGATTTATTAACACAGATGGTGGTCTTCCAGGTTATTGTGCTATGTAGCATTTTGGCTACTTGGCACAAAAACCTAAAAGACCTCCACCATCCCTGTCAAACCCTGAAATCTTAACAGTTGTTGCATATGTTACTTCAGCATTTTCACTATCTAAGGAATAGAACATCAGTACAGCCCAACATAAAAATACAGTACAGTAATGTGCATAAACATAATCTTAATATAAATAGAGATGCTTACAGGGTCTTCAGTAGGGGATTTGGATCTACGTCAAACCCCTGGAGGAGCCACGGTACCAGGGTTGTTGGGAGTAACAAGTGACCAGGACTTTCGGAGACTTCAGATCGACGGTGACCTGAGGCACCTTAATAACTCAGTGCTCCCAAGGTCCCTAATGGATGAAGACATGCGTAGTCATCAAGGGTAAGGCTTTATCTTCATATTATGTGTGTCAAAACTTTAGAATAAATGTAGATGAAACATAGATTTAGACCAAGATGAAACTAGATAAATCTTGTATAATTTTTTTTGTTCTTAATTTCTAAAATTGAAACCAGTATTTTTACATAAACTTAAAAACAAGAGCTATGTTGAAATAATCTTGTCTGGTTTCCCAGATTTGACCAGGACATGCGGGCAGAATGTGGAAGAGACTTGGACTTACGCAACAATCCAGGCATTTTACCACAACTTCCATCTTCTCAGCTTATGGGTGGACAGTTTGACTCTGATTTCCGTCAGCAGAAAAGTGGCATTATGCCTTTGCTGTCGCGACCTAATCAGGGATCCCCACTTCATGGTGGGATGAGAGGTGGTCCTCCAGAAAGCCTACGTGAACCATATGATGAGGTAGAAGATTCAAGAGACAGAGGTTCAGGAATGAATGAAGGACCAAGCAAGAGAGGGCTCATGATGGGAGGTCCACAGTTTGGTGATCGCCCTCCAAGAAGTTTATTGGAGCAAGAGGGGTGGGGATCAGGTCCCAGAAAAAGACGCTGGGGTGAACCCCCACTGGATGAAGATGACAATCGTGGTGATTATCAGTCAGGCCCAGGTGGAAACTTTAGGCAAGGAGGAAGCTTTCCTGGTGAGGAAAACTTCAGAGGTGGCTACCCTATGAGTCCTGGGGAAGCAGGGAATAGCCCAAGTAATGGACGGCATTTTGGAGCAGACCCAGAGGACAGTCAAGGTGGAAGTTATAATAGAGGAAACAGAGGGCCAGGTTCCTGGGGGGGAGGGGGAGGACCTTATCCCCCATCTAGACAAGGCAGCCCATTCCATTATCAACCAGAAGGTGGATTTCGAAGTCGTGGAGGCAGGGGTGGATTCTCTAACAGGGGAAGAGGAGGTGGAATGTCAAGAGGTGGCTCAAGAGGCAGATTTGGAGGTCCTAGAGGAATGCGTGGTGGACGTGGTCCAAAACGGGGACAGTTTTGAATTTGTGATTGTGACAAGATCTGCAGTTAACATTTTCATGCTGAAAGGTGTGGTGGATATGTGTAATTGTCAGTGCTGTAAATCTTTGCTTTTCATGTATGATAATATCTGACCTGCTTTTACAAAATTCATTACATTTGAGTGCATAAAAAAAACTTTCAAAGCTGTATACAAAGTTATCCACCTTTTCATATATAATTTTCCTACATGAAGGTGTGGTTCATGGTGAATTTATATTGGCAAATGGTCTTCAAAATGTGGAACTTAATTTTCATTTCTGCCAAATGACTTGGCCTGGAATGGAATAATGTTGAGTAGATCAACAATTGCATTTTGTTTTTATATGAACTTCAGAATCTGTCCATAAATAAAAAATGGGCTTTGAATGACTTAGTGCTGAAGCATATAATGTCTGCTTCAAACGGACCTTTCAAATGCACTGGTTGGCCTGCAGTGTTGAAATAGGACGATGGCCCAGAAGCATGCAGTTACTTTGCTGAATCAGTTTTGAGTTATCTTATGTTCATAATCAAAAGCGATTTATATCTTTATCAGCCCAGCAATTTACCAGAATTGGTGTGCAAAGTAATGGCCAATGAGACACTTGCTATTAATGTACTATTTATGTGCTCCATGTGTTTGTTTAGAGTACCAAGAAAGAGCATAGTCTTATCATGAAAACAAAGTCATCTAATTATAATTTCATTTACAGAATAGTTGGGTCTGTTGATTTAGTTTATGTAACCATCCTGTGACTATTATAACATCAAAAATTGTTTTTTATTAAATTTCCTTCAGAAATTT